TGCCGCCACTCCCCTCCCCCCCCCCAGCCACTTAAGTTGGGGACGGGAAGGGGGCGGGACCCGGGTCTTCTCAACAGGGTGTGGCTCTCCTCCGGGGACTCCCGGTACACACGCCTGGGCGAGCCGCGAGCGCAGTGGGACATCCATGTCACCAGTGCCCGAGGGACAGACAGCACAGTGGTGTCCTGAGCTGGGGGTGGCGGGTGGCGGGCGACACACGCAACACTGACCCGAGACTCGGGAGCCGGAGCCTGAGGTTCTGAGAGCTTCCGGGCACCCGCCTGGCACCCGGGGTGCCAGTTTTACTGCAGCAGAGCCCGGCCGCCGCCTGCCTGTGCGTCCTGGAGCCACCAGCCCGGCGCACCTGCGGCCGCCGCACCGGCCAGGTCCCCACGAGAGGCCTACCGCCCCGCTGGGCAATTAGCTGCCACCTGCCTTGCCGTCTCAGTTCCCAGCCCGGGCTCGGGGAGGCTGCTCCAGCGCCCCAGAGACGCCCACCACGAGGGTCCCAGGGCCCTGCCTACTTCTGCGGGCGGTGCTGGACGCCTCCCTGCGACAGCGGGAAGTGACACAGAGGGACTGAGGAAAGCCCTAAGGACGGAGCAATTAGGAACTGGGTGGGGCGGGAACAGGTCAGCAACCGCCACACAGGGCCTGAGGCCGGAGGTTCAGGCCGACTGTGGAGCTGGGACAAGGAATGACTGACTGCAGGGCCTCAGGAAGGGTCGCGTCTTCCACTGGGAGGGGAGCCCCAGAGATCATTTTGCCTCAGTTGACACCCTGGCCGGCCTGTACCCAGTGGAGCTTTGTTCAGTCGGGTTGAGGGTCCTGGGGAACAGCTGGTGCTGATTTGGACCCGGGAGGCCACTGCATTCCTGGTAGTTTGTGGCCGGCAGTAGTTTGTGGCCCGCGGGCTGGAATGCGCTGAAGGGCCGCCCAGGAGGGAGGTGGCCGCAGCGGTTGGGACTAGGACCCTGCCCCCCTCCTTGGCCCTCAGAGCTTTTAGGGACGTGGCCAACTGGACCTGACACGCCTGGCATCCCCGAGCCAGCCCCTGCTCATTCCTGTGGGACTGGGCGGCTCCTGGGTGAGGCAACAGCTGCCCCCACAGCCCACAGCCTTTGTCTCCCCTTAGAGCAGCTAATCCCACTTAAAAGGGTTTAAAAGGATAGGAATGGGGAATGGGGCTCTCATCAGCAAACAAACTGTCTAGATAAAATGGGGAAACTGGTTGTTTGGTGGCTGCACATTCCTTTAATCCCAGCACTCAGGAGGCAGAGGCAGGCAGATTTCTGTGAGTTCGAGGCCAGCCTGGTCTTCAAAGTGATTTCCAGGACAACCAGGGCTACACAGAGAAACCCTGTCTCAAAACCCAAAAAATGGGGAACTGAGTCCTGGGGAGCCAAGAACTGGCTGTGGTCCTCCACATGGCAGGGGCTGGGCCCACAAGGGCAGCTCTCCAGGGGTCCTTCTAGTTCTCTAGGGGAGGACAGAGAGGAAGACCCGTTCCTCCTGTGAGAGAGGAGGACAGCCAGGCTTCCTGTGTGATCCCTGCCTGTCCGGGTCTGAGATGCTGCCACAGGGGTGGGCAGATGTGAGCCTGTGGGAAATAGAGGTGTCTGAGGAATCTGAGGGTTTTTTAAAAACCCAGTCATGTGGAGACAGTCCTCCCAGGGAGGCCTACCAGCTGAAATATTGCTCAGCCATGAAAAAGAACGGGCCTCTGATGGATATTACCGTATCAGTGGAGGACCTGATTGAAGTCAGACGCCGAAGCCCCCAGCAGATAGGAAGTGCCCAGAATGGGTGAAACCAGAGAGAGGGATCCTGCTGGGTGTGTAGCTCAGTGGACAGCGTGCTGACTTAACACCCACTGAGCTCCGGTTTCATTCCAGCATTTCATGGAGGCACAGACGAGTGGAAGCAGGAGGATTGGGTCAGGGTCCTCTTCAGCTCCACAGATTTGAGGCCAGCTCTGTCCCTTCTCCCTGCTGTCTTTGGCCTCATTCATCTGAAAACTTTGCAGGGCATGTCCACGCCCCAGCTCAACTCTATGGTCTTTGCTCCTCAGCTCCTGTCCAAATACGACCCCCAGAAGGAAGCCGAACTCCGCAGCTGGATTGAGGGACTCACAGGCCTCTCCATTGGCCCTGACTTCCAGAAGGGTCTGAAAGATGGCGTCATCCTATGCACGTGAGTGCTCAGCCTCAGTGCTCTGTGCTACATGGCTTGTTGTGCATGTCTAGTTTTTTATATTTCCTCTTATTGCATAGTCACTCTTTTACTTTTCAATCTCTTTATCTGTCTTTATTTTATTTTATTTAGGGTTTAGTTCATTTTTACTTGTGTTTGTGCCTGTGTGCCTCTGTGAGTATGCACACAAGTGCACTTCCCTCAGAGGTCAGAAGAGGGCACTCTGATCCCTAGAGCTGGCTGTGAGCCACCTGACATGGTGCTGAGAACTGAACACAGGGCCTGGAGTGGAAACAAGCCCCTAACTTCTGCGTCCACTGTCTGGCCCTTGTTGCCTTTCCTTCAGTGTTGATCCTCTCTTTTTCTTCTGTCCCTGTCTGCTGTTTTCTTGTGCTGTTGCATTCCTCTACATGCCCAGGTCATGAACAGTCCAACCCTAGGCCTTCTCTTCCTTGCTTCAGTGGCTAATGCTTCTGGAAGTTTCTCCATCTTGTGTGCTGTGCATCTGTTGTTTGGATATTCCACAGTTCTGCACGTGAAAAAAAATTATAATCAAAAGTCTTTGATTCCAGAAAAAAGGTCTTAGATTACCCCCAAATCCCATGGTTCAAGATTACATTCCTAGCATCCATAGTTGGAAGCTTTGTTTGCTTGGTGGCTGAAGGGAAACTGAGGCTGGGTAGAGATGTTGAGGCTGCCCGGGAAGGTGTGAGCTTGCTGAGGTCAGGACACCAATGGAGGGCCCTGGGTCATTTCTTCCCAGACTCATGAACAAGCTGCAGCCGGGCTCCGTCCCCAAGATCAACCGCTCTCTGCAGAACTGGCACCAGGTGAGGGGCTGGCGAGCAGACAGCAGGAACGGCCTGCCCAGCCCATGTGTACACCAGGGCCTCTGCTCACCACCATTCCCCTGCCTCCTCCCAGCTAGAAAACCTCTCCAACTTCATCAAGGCCATGGTCAGCTATGGCATGAACCCCGTGGACCTGTTTGAGGCCAATGACCTATTTGAAAGCGGGAACATGACACAGGTGCAGGTGTCACTGCTTGCGCTGGCAGGAAAGGTAAGGTCCAGAGAAGGCCAGCGGGCAGCCCATGGTCACACAGCAAGGAGTCACTCTGCCTGATTTGAGAGGCGGGGAGGAGAGAGAATTTGCTGTTTAGAATCTACCGCCTTTCAACAGGAAATTGTAAAGGGAGGTGTTTAAGGCTGAGGGGACAGCAAGGTTGCCTCACATGAAGACACAGGGTGTGTGAGGAATAGGAGGACATGAGAGGTCCCTTTATGTGGGGTTGGCGTGATGGCCAGGTCTGAAGGGTGGGACCCAGCCTGTGGAGATTGTGCTGGATATATTTCTTGGGTGTTGCATCCACTGACTGCTGCTTGCAATTTGAACCTGGATTGAGGGTTCCGGGCTCCCCTCATCCCCACCCAGGCCAAGACCAAGGGGCTGCAGAGTGGTGTGGACATTGGAGTCAAATACTCAGAGAAACAAGAAAGGAACTTTGATGATGCCACCATGAAGGCCGGCCAGTGCGTCATTGGGCTGCAGGTAGATGCCACAATACCCTGAACAGACACCCTGAATTCCAGGGAGGTTCTAGGCCAAAAGTTCTAATCTGTGGGCTGAGACTCCTTTGGGCCTGAACAATCCTTTCACAGGGGTCACATATCAGACATCCTGTATATCAGAAATTTACATTACAATTGGTAACAGTAGCAAAATTGAAGTTATGAAGTAATGGGGGAGGTGGCTACAGCATGAGGAACTGTATTGAGTGTCCCAGCATTAGGAAAGTTGAGAACCGCTGTATTAAAGGGTCGCAGTGTTAGGGAGGTTGAGAACCACTGTGCTAGAGCTGGTGTTGCCCCTCTAACCTCCCACATTCCCCGTGAAGATGGGCACCAACAAATGTGCCAGCCAATCTGGCATGACGGCTTACGGTACCAGACGGCATCTCTATGACCCCAAGAACCACATCCTGCCTCCCATGGACCACTGCACCATCAGCCTCCAGATGGGTACCAACAAGTGTGCCAGCCAGGTGGGTCCCACCCCAGGCGCCCAGGCTATGACCCCAGCACACTGTCCCCTGCCTGAGGGATTCTAGCCTCACTCTGTCTTCCTCACTGTGTGTGCTTTCAGACGTGACAACCCTACTCTGTGCCTCAGCTTCCCTCAAATGTCCACCCCCATCTGATACTCTTACCTTTTTTGTTAAGTTGAATGCCTGTGTCCCTGAGGTTTTGGGGACCTCAAATTTTGGGGAAGTCTCTGTTCCAGGTGGAGGGGCTTCCTAGCTGTCAAGGAGAAAGTGGGACATTTGTGCTTACAAATTGGTTAAAGAGTTTTTATTTTATTTTTGTGCAGAGGCCTGGGTTTGAGACAGGGCCTGACTATGTAGCCCATAGCCTTGAGTGCTCAGCAATCAATCTTCTGCCTCAGCCTCCTGAGTACCAAGGTGTCAGGAGCTGGGCGAGGTTCAGAGTTCTCCTGGTGTGACTGAGAGACTCTGGCTTCTGTCCCCAGCATGGCATAAACTGGGCATGGTCATGCTCCCCTGTTGTCCCAGCCCTCAGAAAGCAGAAGCAGAGAATCAGGAGTTCAGAGTCATCCTTGGCTACATAGTGAGTGTGAGGCCAGCCTGGGCTACATGAGACTCTTTCTCCAAAAGAAAAGATTTTAGTTAAGCTTTGGAAATCCCTTCAGGAATTGCAGGGGGTATGTATTGAGGAAATTAGGGGGGGTCCCCTTCTGAGCCCCTCTCTCCCATCTCCAGGTGGGCATGACAGCTCCAGGGACTCGAAGGCACATCTATGACACCAAGCTGGGTACCGACAAGTGTGACAACTCTTCCATGTCCCTACAGATGGGCTACACGCAGGGTGCCAACCAGAGTGGCCAGGTCTTCGGGCTGGGGCGGCAGATATATGACCCCAAGTATTGCCCACAGGGTCCAGCAGCCGATGGGGCACCAGTCAGTGGTGACGGCCATGGCGAGGGCCCTGAGTACCTGGCCTACTGCCAGGAGGAGGCAGGTTACTGAGCACCCAAGGGTGCTGCTGGCTCCCCACATAGGCATCCATGTGTGGGTTTGGGGTTTTGTTTTTTCTCCTGTGTTTTCATTGTGTTGTTTTGTTTCTTGAAATTGGGCCTCACTTTGTAGCCCTCTCTGTCCTGGAACTCACTGCAATCAGCCTCCTGCCTCAGCTTCCTGAGGGCTGGGCAGACAAACCTTTGCTAGCTATACTCCCTCCTCGCCCATCATGCCTTGCTTCCTTCCCAGGACTGACCCACGGGTAGGGAACATTGGGGTCCTTGATGGGGTTAGACAGACTGAGGGTTTCCTAGCAGACTGTGGGAGTGGCTGTCCCCAAAGAGTTGCCGGTTTCTTCATCTCTTCAGTTTGTGCTTTGTGAACCCATGGAAATTGCAGACAGTTTCAATGAAAGAAAACTTGGGGGCAAAGGTATAAAGGGTGCATTTGATTTCCCAAGACCCTCAGACCTCACCCTCCCGTGCCCAGCGGGGAAACTGAGGCCTGGGACTGAGGGAGGCCATACCCACACCTGCTGCCCTCCCTCCCACCTCTTCCTGAGCAGGCCTGATTAGCTGCGCTGAGCCCGCCCCGCCTCCAAAAGTGCTGCAAGTGACCACAGGCGCCCCTGTGCTGCCAGATAATGTGAAGTACCTTGTGTGGACCAAAAACTAATAAAAACCTCTGTTTCTAAGACTAAAGAGCATTTCTGAGCTGGGCGTTGGTGGCGCACGCCTTTAGTCCCAGCACTCTGGAGGCAGAGGCAGGCGGATCTCTGTGAGTTCGAGGCCAGCCTGGTCTCCAAAGCGAGTGCCAGGATAGGCTCCAAAGCTACACAGAGAAACCCTGTCTCGACCCCCCCCAAAAAAAAAACCCAAAAAAACAAAAAAAAACCCAAAAAACTAAAGAGCATTTCTTAAGTTGGTGATGACAGAGGAGGACCATTTACAAGCAGGGGCAAGCCATACACATAAGTTAGGTGGGAGGAGGGGGAATGGAGGCAGGGTTAAGGTGGAGGAAAAGGCTGTCTCCCTCACCAGCTTTCCTCAAAAATCAACTCTAAAGTCCCCTTTCCAACTCCCGCCCTTCCTGGAGAGCTGTAGATCACTCCCTCCATGCTCAATATGGTTTTGTGAAATACACCAGCACCCCCCCACACAGTGGGAAACACCAGGGGATTTTGCTCAAAATCCAGGCAACTATTGATTCTAATCTTAGAATGTGGCGCTGACACCTGACTCTGAAACCGCCTAGACTACTGAAGGATTGGGAGGGTGTTGATAGAGTGAGTGAGTGAGTGAGTGAGTGAGTGAGTGAGTGAGTGAGTGGACTTGGTCGCTCCTCCAAGGATGAGCTTTTGGAGGCTGCCTGTTAGAAGTCCGGCTGGTGTGTAAAGGCGCTGACCGTCAACACTCCCGACCTAAGTTCAGTTCTCACCAGGGCCCCACATGAGGGGAGGCAAGAGCATGCTTAGGAGTTGTCCTTTGCCCTCCACAGACGTGCCGTGCAGAGATGCTTCCTATCCCAGCAAACAAATTAAAAGTAAAGGTTACTCACGGTTGCGAATGCCTCCAACCCCAACACGGAGGAAGGAGGATCTCTGCGTGTTGAGGCCAACCAAGGTGTGAGCCACTCTCAAAATAAATAGTTAAGAGAGAGTGGGGGAGGAGACAGAGGATTCTCTTGGAGGCGGCAGCCGCCTTTTTGAGGTGTGAACCCAAGGGGGAGACCCCAATTGTCCCTCACGTGGTCACATCTCTGTGAAACCATCCTGACGCTGCCAGAGGCATGCGGTCCCTTTAAGAAACCCGGCTCGGTTGTGGTCCCGCCTCCTCCAATGGCAAAGACATGCGAGTGGCAGGTGTACTGTCCAATAGTAGCGCCAGGGGGCGGGGTCTGGTGCAGCCCGGGACTCCGGGTTGCGAAGGGCGAAGTCCGCAGTTGAGGGGGCTCCTCTTAAAGGGGCCGCGCTCGCCCCCCCCGCCGCTACCGGGCGGAGCGAAGGTGAATGGAGTTTGGGGGCCTTGGAATGGTGAGGAGGACCCCGAGGGGTGGAAGGTGGAGTGTGTCCAGCTGGGTGCTGTGGGGGAAGAGTGGCGGAGCCGCGTTCCCTGATGATTAGAGGGTCCCCGGCCAGCCCCTCCCTACCCTTCCCACGAGTGTGGGAAAAACTGGTCCCTATTTCTCACAGCAGGCATCTGGTCACCTAGAGGGACCTCGGCCACCCTGCACCTGCAGCGCCCCACTTTCCTGATGAGGCCGGCCCCCCAGATCCCCAGATCCCACTGTGTAAAACATAAACGTCCCCAGATGGACGCCAGTTCCCACGTAGATGGCAAAACTTTGGTCACTTCCTTCTCTGTCAGCCTCAGTTTCCCTGTCTGTCATGAAGTAGGCCACAGGCTGACAACTCGGGGGGGGGGCACAAAAAGAAACCATCGGGCATGGCAGGCTCAAGAGCCGGTCCCCGACCCCCGCGCCGACCCGGCCCGAGAGTCTGGCCCATCCTTTGACGACACTGGGGGCCGGCTCGCTCATCTCCGGTTTCCTTGGAGCGTGACTCTGCCCTTTGTGAGCCTCAGTTTCCATCTCTGTAACATGGAAGGCCAGCGGCGCAGGAGGCGCGGTCCGCACTGCAGACGGAGGCTTGCGGGTCTCACCGTCGGCCGCCGGGGGCCATGGGAACCGAGACCCGGGTCCCGGGGGAGGCTGAGGGTGGAGCCCGGAGCCCAAGGCCTTAAATCCAAGCTCCGCCCACTAAGAATTCGAACGGGGGGGTCTTCTAGACCCCAGCCTTCAGCCTACTGGGAGCGATAGCTCTTCCAGCCAATCAGCTACGAAGACGGCTGCGGGCCAGGCTCCCATTGGTCACCCCTTGATGTTTGCGAGGCTTTCTTTGCTGGAGATTCCTGCCGCTGGGTGCACTGGGTGGATGAGCGGTGGATGAAGAATGAAGATCAGAGACAGTCAGGCATTTACCTCGAGCCACACAGCTCACTCTCAACCTATTGTTTCTGCTGTCCTCTCTGCTGTTTCCCTTCCAGAGTCATCATGGCCTTCTGCACACAGCTGATGCTCCTACTGTGGAAAAATTACACGTATCGAAAAAGACAACCGGTAAAGCCCGGGGTAATGCAGGTGCGGGGACGATGGCAGGTGCCCATCATGGTCCCCAAAGTCTCCTACACATTCTTCCCCCAGATCCAGCTTCTGGTGGAGTTACTGTGGCCTCTCTTCCTCTTCTTCATCCTGGTGTCTGTCCGCCACTCCCACCCTCCACTGGAGCACCACGAATGTAAGACCCATTGTGTGAGCCGGGCGGTGGTGGTAGTCCCAACACTTGGGAGGCAGAGGCAGGGGGGTCTGTGTGAGTTCGATGCCAGCTTGGTCTACAGAGCGAGTCCCAGGACAGCCAGGGCTACACAGAGAAACCCTGTCGAGAAAACCGCCCTCCCCTCAAAAAAAAAAAAAAAAAAAAAATCACTGTGTGTGGTAGGGGGGGGACAAGCCTCTCCTGCCCTGCCTGGCTGCAGGGGGGGACGGGGGGAG